CTCTTGCAGGACACTCTTGTAGCTCTTGTAGGACTGTCTTGTGGGACACGGAACACTCTTGTAGGACACTCTTGTGGGACACCCTTGTAGGACACTCTTGTAGGACACTCTTGTCGGACACTCTTGTGGAACACTCTTGTGGGGCACTCTTGTAGGACACTCTTGCGGGGCTTGTCGGGGCTTGTAGGTCACTCTTGTGGGGTACTCTTGTTGTAGGACGCATTCTTGTGGGACATCCTGGCAGGACACTCTTGCGGGACACCCTCGTAGGACACTTTTGTGGGACACTCTTGTAGGAAACTGTTGTCGGACACTCTTATGGAACAGTCTTGTGTGTATGACATGTCCGACACTCTCGTGGAACACTCTTGTGGGACACTCTTGTAGGGCACTCTTGTCGAGTCGAGCACTCTTGCGGGACACTCGTGGGACACTCTTGCAGAACACTCTTGTACGACACTCTTGTGGGTGACTCTTTTAGGACACTCTGGTATGGGATTCTTGTGGAACACTCTTGCGGGCAATCTTGTAACTCTTGTAGGGCTGTCTTGCGGGACACCGAGCACTCTTGTAGGACACTCTTGCGGGACACCCTTCTCGGAAACTCTTGTAGGACTCTCTTGTGGAACACCCTTGTAGGAAACTCTTGTGGGACAATCTCGTGAGGCTCTCTTGTAGGACATTCTTGCGGGGCACTCCTGTAGGACACTCTTGTCGGACGCTCTCTTGTAGGACACTCTCGCGGGACACTCATGCGTGACACTCTTGTATGTCACATGTGTGGGACACTCTTGTAGGACACTCTTGTTGGACAGTCTTGTGGGACACTCTTGCGGGGTCGGGCACTCTTTAGGAACTCTTGTAGGGCTGTCTTGCAGGGCACCAACACTCTTGTAGGACACTCTTCCGGGGCACCCTTCTAGGAAACTCTTGTAGGACACTCTTGTTGGACACTCTTGTGGAACACTCTTGTAGCTCTTGTAGGATTGACTTGTCGGACACCGAACACTCTTGTAGGGAAGGCTTGTGGGACACCCTTGTCTGAAGGCACTTGCGGGACACTCTTGTGGGACACTCTTGCAGGGCACTCTTGTAAGACAGTCTTGGGTCACCCTTTTAGGACGAGACTTCTTCCAAAATTCACTCGTCAAGTCTCCGAAACGAGCGTTTCGCGCGAGACTTCCTCAAAAACTCACACTTCAAGTCTACAAAACAAGCATTCCGTACAAGACTTTCTGCAAAAGTCACGTGTCAACTCTCCAAAACGAGCGTTTCGTACGATTATGAGACTTCCTCCAAAACTCACACGTCAAAGTCTCCAAAACCAAACAACACCCGCTCACATGCCAATCCCACTGTCACACCGCAACTCGCAACCTCACGATTCCCTGCGCGCGCCACGAAAATGCACGTCCACACGTCTAACACGCACAAAGCACTGCGCCTGCCACTCCGCCACACCGCGCAACCTCACGATTCCCTGTGCCTACTACGAAAATTGCATTTCCACACCTCAAAGCCCGCACAGAGTACTGCGCCTGCCACGACAAGTGACAATATCATATCGTGTGAGCTTCAACAAAAATTGCACCCCCCAACGTATGGAATGATTTCGCGTTTCAGCTGAGACTTGTCACGAAAACGGCTCAAACCCCAACGTCACAGCCACATCCAACACCCCAAAAACACGACCCTCCAAACGCCAATCCCAATGTGACTACGGAAAACTGCGGATCTCACAAAACGCTGCGCCTGCGCAGTGAAATCATCCTCAACACTTCAACATCTTACGTTTCCACACGTTTCCTTGCTATTTCGCACGAATCTGACACGTCGCGTTTCCATGCGAAACCCTCCAACCCCCAATGTGGAGGCCTGAGCGCCCACCGCGAACGGTTGCGAACGGTCTATAGAGGTGTAGCAGCATCACAAAGTGCTGCGTCTGCCACAAAATCTGCACTCGGAGGTTCACAAAGCGCCTCACGAAATCTGCACTTCAAGGTTCACAAAGTGCTGTGCCTGCCGCAAAAACTGGGCTTCGAGGTTCACAAAGTGCTGCGCCTGCCGCGCAATCTGCACTTCGAGGTTCGCAAAGTGCTGCTGCGCCTGCCGCAAAATCTGCACACAGTGCTGCGCCTGGCAAGAAATCTGCACACAAAATGCTATGCCTGCCACGAATTCTGCGCTTCGAGGCTCACAAAGCGCTGTGCCTGCAAAGAAATCTGCACTTCAAGGTTCACAAAGTGCTGCGCCGGCCACGAACTCTGCACTTTGAGGGTCACAAAGTGCTGCGCCTGTCACGAAATCTGCACTTCGAGGCTCACAAAGTGCTGTGCTCTGCTGTGCCTTCCCTGAAATCTGCGCTTCGAGGTTCACAAAGCGCTGCGCTTGCCACGAAATCTGCCCTTCGAGGTTCGCAAAGCGCTGCGCCTGCCACGAAATCTGCACTTCAACGTCCACAAAGTACTGCACCAGCCACGATTTCTGAAAACAAGCCACGTGTTAAAAAGTCACGATTCACTGCACCTGTCACGAATTCAGAGCTCCTTCTAGATCACCACCATGTCCAAAGCGCTGCGCCTGCGACGAAATCTACACATCGAAGTAAAGCCGCTCCGGTCCCTTGCACCTGTCACGAAAAGTCGACTTTAGACCACCAAAGCACGAGATTTCGAAAATGCGCACGGCGCCACAACGAGAGCGGAGTCACTCGCGACAAGCATCCACCGCGGCCAAGCAGACTTTGCGAGCCTGCGCAGTCGAAATGCACTTCGAGGATTTCGAGAGGCATGAATGTACTGTAAAGAGCAACGAAATAGCCGGACCAACCGCGCAAAGCCTCGATTAGACACCGGTGCTTGACCATTACTGTAAGAACCCCTCGTGTGTCCACACTGTTTGGGGAATGAAAAATAGTTCTCCGCAGAAATTTAAGCCGGGTAAGTTGAAACTGTTCCTTGGCCTTTGAGTCGGCCTCTTTTTTGTCGGCTTGAAAAGCTACAAAAGGGCTGGGTTGAGCGGGAGGCTGCAGCACTCCCCAAAAAGGCGAGAACTTGTTGGTGTATATTGAAGGCATCGCTACATGTCCTTCCTTTCCTTGAACAAACTGGCCACTACACGCCGCGAAACTTCGACTTGGAAGCTGTTCGGCTGCAGCACAGCGCACAAGTGCTCGATTCACTTGTGAGCTGGCTGGCCACCTACCAAAAGCTAAGAAGCCACAGAAATCCGCAGAAACATGCAGAAACGAAACCAAACGCCAAAATTGCCAACGAAGCATGAGCCGAAAAAAATAAACACAACCAAAAATACACAGACAAACTGTTTCATTGCAAGCGCCGGACTCGACCAAACAACGCAACTGTCGGAGGCGCAAACATGCGTGGTCTGACGCTGTCGGCTCTAAGAATGCACCAACGTGCACCCAACCCCAAGGAACTGCACACGAGCAGGTTGACGTGTAACATGTAGATTAACTATTTATTCAGAAAAGCCACTCCGTTCACACCCATCATTTCTGTCTGCGTCTCTGCTTGCAAGCCAGCAACGCCCCTTTGTTCGAGCAATGGCACCTAAGAACAAGCTCAGTGTTCTGTGGCTCCAAGTCAACATATTGATGGATTTGCGTGGGCTCCTGCCATGTCAAGACAAGTCACGCGACAGCAAGGTACTCGTTGACGTCGCCTTTGCCAACTCTGTCACACTCTGACCTGCGTGGAAGCGGACGCCGGCATCAACCCCAAACAGGAATGTTGTCACCAGATGCTGGTTGCTTGCCTGGCTCCATTCTACTGGCTGGAACTTACTCAATACCACTTTGAGGCTTGTGGCTGCAAAAGCACAACTCAAAAGCGCAACCGGGTGAAAGGTTGGCCAATCGTTGAAGGATTGCATTCAAACAGCCAAGCTTGCTTTGCCTGGCGGTGAATCCAGTACGTAAACGAAGCTAGGCTCAATGTTTGAGCCAATTGTCTCATCAGAAATGTATGGATTCAATGCAGGGTTCGCTGGCAATGATTGCAATGCATGTTTTCACTTGCAATGCATTCATCGATTGCAACAAAATGGGAACACGCCAAAGGTGCCTATTTCTTTCTCCTTCAGGCTGTTCGGCGGGCTTAGGAGTGTTTCAAAGATGAGCTCCACAGCTGTGGCTGTGAAATTCAGCAGAGCAAAATGGGCATGCTGCAGAAGCATGTAGCAGCGGCGTAGACACAACCACTGCAGCTGCAACGAATAAAACTTCAGCTCGGGGTGTTGCAGGTGTTGCGCCCTCTGCTTACCTGCGTGGTCTGTGCTACACTTGTGTAAGTCAGGGCAGAAACAGAACATGTTTGGACCACTACTTGGTATAGCTCAACTTTTGCGATCATTTGGATTATTCGCTGTCTTCTTCCTCTTGATCTAATGGCCTAGGTTCAGCTCGAGATAGACCAAACATGGCGGTAGCAGCCCTGTGGTCCAAAAAGGCCCGACACATGACAAAAGACTGTCGGGGTAAACAAATGAAAAACCAAGCGCCAGCATCCAGACGAAACTCCCCTGTGGTCTTGCAGCAAGAAGGCGGAGCAGCCGGAGCCGGAGCCATGACATGCTTTACGCAAGCAGGCTATAATATGGGCAAAGGACCTGCGTAAAACCACAGTGCAGCAAGCATACACAAAACCATATTACAAGGTCAACGGTTTCAAGCATTGAAACCTATTTAAGCTAGCGTCATCATTCAACACAGAGGTCAAGGCAGACAGGGACAAAACTCAAAAGGCAATACTAATTACTCCGGGGAAAAACAACATAGACCGTAACTCAATTTCAAGTGCACTTTAACATGGACCACTGGAAACGGTGACTTCCTGGGGAAACGGTATTAGCGCCTTTTTGGCAATTTCTGGACCCTCACTAACATGGACCGTTCCTACTCTCAGTCTATGATCGATTTTGACACT